CGGATGGTGTTGGGAGAACTGGACAGCAACATACAAAAGAATGAAACTAGATCATTTTCTCACACCACACACAAAAAATAAACTCAAAATGGATAAAGGACCTGAACATGAGACAGGAAACCATCAAACCCCTAGAGGAGAAAGCAGGAAACAACCTCCTTGATCTCACCTGCAGCAATTTCTTACTTGACACATCCCCAAAGGCAAGCGAATCAAGAGCAAAAAGGAACTACTGAGACCTCATCAAGATTAAAAGCTTCTGCACGGCAAAGGAAACAATCCATAAAACTAATAGGCAACCGACAGAATGGGAAAAGATAGTTACAAATGACATATCAGATAAAGGGCTAGTATCCAAAATTTATAAGGAACTCACCAAATTCCACACCCGAAAAACAAATAATCCAGTGAAGAAATGGGCAGAAGATATGAACAGACACTTCTCCGAAGAGGACATCCAGATGGCCAACAGACACATGAAACGATGCTCAGCATCCCTCCTCATCAGGGAAATACAAATCAAAACCACAGAGATATCACCTCACGCCAGTCAGAGTGGCTAAAATGAGCAAATCAGGAGACTATAGATGCTGGTGAGAATGTGGAGAAACGGGCACCCTCCTACACTGTTGGTGGGAATGAAAACTGGTGCAGCCCCTCTGGAAAACAGTGTGGAGGTTCCTCAAAAAATTAACAATAGAACTCCCCTATGACCCAGCAATAGCACTGCTAGGGATATAGGAGTGCTGATGCATAGGGGCACATGTACCCCAATGTTCATAGCAGCACTCTCCACAATAGCCAAAACATGGAAAGAGCCTAAGTGTCCATCAACTGATGAATGGATCAAGAAGATGTGATTTATACAATGGAATCGTACGTGGCAATGAGAAAGAATGAAATCTGGCCATGTGTAGCAACATGGATGGAACTTGAGGGTGTTATGCTGAGCAAAATAAGGGAGAGAAGGACAGATGCCATATGGTTGCACATATAGGAGGATTAGGAGGAGCTTAACGGAGGACGGTGTGGGAGAAGAAGGGGAGAAATGGTTGGGGAGAGGGAGGGAGGCAAGCTATGAGAGACTCTTGAAAGCTGAGAACAAACTGAGGGCTGATGGGGGTGGGGGAGAAGGGAAAGGGGGTGATGGGCATGGAGGAGAGCACTTGTTGGGATGAGCACTGGTGTTATATGTAAACCAACTTGACAATAAACTATTAAAAAAAAAGAAAGTGGAGGAATAAACATAACTTTAAAACTAGCTAGATTTAAAAAAATCATGGGCACATATTAGTTTCTTTTGTGATAAGAAAATGAATAACAGAAAGAAGCCAAATTCAAGAGAGATAAGAGATGCATGTGGCACAGTTCACACTGTCAATGAGTAATAGCCAAGCAACACCAGGAGCACATATGTAGTCAGGTTTCTTTCACATTCTGCAGTGAGGATGACCACCTCACACCTCAGAGCGCCCGGAGTTTTGGATAAGAGGAAACCAGGAAGGACTTTTGTAGGATTTAAGCCTGTGCTGGATGATTCTAAGAAGGATTTCAGAAGTGGAGGCAAGTTCTGTTTTGAGCGTTATCAGGAATTTGGTGATTAGATAGTTTTGTAATTTATAACAGAAAGAGAGAAATTAAAGTGGTTAGGGAAAGAAGTTTTACTCCTTTTAGTTGGAAAGGGAAATGTTTAGCTGCTTTTTTAGTTGCCAAGAGTTCTTGTTCCTATTATTTTTCAGACATCGTCTCAGAGTGGCCTTTTCTTTGTCTGACTCCATCTCACTCATGGAGTGGCCTTGTCTTATTATTGCTTATATTCGGTAAAAGTCGTTTGGTTCAGTTGGGATCATTATGAACATGTTAGCTGTCATCTCCCTGATCATTTCACAACTACTCAATATGATTGATATGTTTCTCTTTCCATTCATATTTTTACTTTGCTGAAGATAAGATGACTATACCCAACCTTGGAGTTAATTATACTGGCATCTTGGCTCCAATCTTATAGATTTTATTGTGGCTCTCCTCTGTTGAAATAATGCACAACTGAATAGGAAAAATGCAATCTGATTTATTTACAGGGAATTTATCTTTAGATTTTCCCCCAGGCTAGTGCAGCCGAATGTTTCACTAAGTGATTTCTCCAAGAAGAGAGTGTATAGTTGAGGTATGGGAGTAAGAATAAGTATCTGTTCCCTTGAATGTCTGTGGCTCTAGGTGCTGAGACAGCATCAAAGAAAACAGCCTTCTTTGGTTAGTTTTCTGCTGAAGGAGAGAGGAATTTCTTACAAGGGGAACATTTTCATGTTGCAAAACTTGGGAGACTTTTTATTGAGTGTGTGTGTGTGTGTAATGAGGGCATTTTTAATTTAATTTAATTTAATTTAATTTAATTATTTTCCTTAAATAGTTTATTGTCAAGTTTGTTACCATATAACACCCAGTGCTCATTCCCACAAGTGCCCTCCTCTATACCCATCACCCCCCTTTCCTCTCCCCCACCCCCATCAGCCCTCAGTTTGTTCTCAGCTTTCAAGAGTCTCTCATAGCTTGCCTCCCTCCCTCTCCCCAACCATTTTTCCCCTTCTTCTCCCACACCGTCCTCCGTTAAGCTCCTCCTAATCCTCCTATACGTGCAACCATATGGCATCTGTCCTTCTCTGCCTGACTTATTTTGCTCAGTATAACACCCTCAAGTTCCATCCATGTTGCTACAAATGGCCAGATTTCATTCTTTCTCATTGCCACGTACGATTCCATTGTATAAATCACATCTTCTTGATCCATTCATCAGTTGATGGACACTTAGGCTCTTTCCATGTTTTGGCTATTGTGGAGAGTGCTGCTATGAACATTGGGGTACATGTGCCCCTATGCATCAGCACTCCTATATCATGAGGGCATTTTTATAAAGACTGCCACACCTTAGTGCCAGGTACTATGATTTCTATTCATTAGCTTACCTATCAATTTCTAACAAACAAGCAAACCAAAAAAATCTCATGAGAAATGTATTGTTATGGGAAACAAAGTTTGAAAGACAAAATAACATGTAAAGGGACAGTACTGGTAAGTGAAAGGGTTGGGACATCAACTATTTACTAAACTATTTAAAATCCTGGGCTCTTAAATACTGCTTTCCAATGGACCGCGGAACTACAGAAATACTCTGCATGCATAGATATTTATAGTTATTGGCCTATGGCTAATGTTCCTGAATCAATACCTCCAGGGCTAAGCTATGATTATTTGTACTTTGAAATCTTTTGCTGGTCATTTGAATGCTGCTGCCCACAGATTGGTGGGTTGTTTTTTTTTTTTAATTTTTAATGTTGTATTTATTTTTGAGAGAGAGAGACAGTATGAGCAGGGGAGGGTCAGAGAGAGAGGGAGACACAGAATCCAAAGACAGGCTCCAGGCTCTGAGCTAACTGTCAGCATAGAGCCCAACACAGGGCTTCAACCCATGAACCGTGAGATCATGACCTGAGCTGAAGTCAGACGCTTAACTGACTGAGAAACTCAGGTGCCCTCAGATTGGTATTTAAAGACCACTAGTGCAGGCTACATACTCACATAACTTCCAATTAGAAAGCTGTCCATAGTATTGTATTTTATCACCATTTATTCATTCAATATTTATAGGATACCTGCTGTGTCTAAGGCTCTACACAAGATGTTAAAAGGTCATAGAAAGACAATGTTAAATGATAGTGAGGGTCTCATAAGTAAGTAATTTATATAGGAAGTGATAAATAATAAAGAAAGTGCTGTAGGTACTCGGTGGAAGAAAGAATTACCTCCAGGGGTAGAATGTTGGCAAGAAAGAAGGGCTGAGCTGGGAAAACTTCTAAGAGAGACTGACTCTTGAAGTGGCAGTACGATTTGGTCATAGAGGTGTGTTTTGTTTCACATGGTGTATATACTGATTATATCTGGCTTCCCGGCTTTGAAGGTAAAGTGCCATGTTATGAAAACACTGTGGGTAGCCTTTAAGAGCTGGGCAAAACCTCTGGCTGATGGCTAATTGGAAGGCAGGAATCTCAGTCTTACAACTGCAAGTATGTGAGTTCTGCCTATCACATTAGGGAGCTTGGAAACTGAATCCCCAGCTGAGCCTCTAGATGAGTTCTCAGTCCTGGTTGACACCTTGATTGTAGCATCTGAGAGGATGTATTTAAGCAGTGTCCACATTCCTGACCCATAAAAGTATAAAATAATAATTGTGTTTTAAGCCCCCAAACGTGTAGAAATTTGCCATATAGCAACAGATATAGATTTTGGAATCATAACAAATACCAATTTATTTCCCTATTGAGAAATATTCACTATCTTGGTCTTATCTTCCTAAGCAATGCTGCAATTTGATATCTATTAAATATATGACCTTGTAGACTGGAATTTTTATTTCCATAGATCAGTTTGTGAGTTTGAAATTCTGAATTGAAAACTTTTTCTTGGTTTGTTTAGAAAAGATATTGCCGGGATGCCTGGGTGGTTAAGAGTCCAACTTCAGCTCAGGTCATGATGTCACAGTCCGTGAGTTTAAGCCCCCCACCCCACCCCACCCCACCCCACCCCAGGTCAGGGTCTGTGCTGACAGCTAAGAGCCTGGAGCCTGCCTCAGATTCTATGTGTCCCCCCCCTCTCTCGGCCCCTCCCCTACTCCCACTCTGCTCTGTCTCTCTCAAAAATAAAATAAAAATAATTTAAAAAAGATATTGCCAGATACTATCTAGCGTGAAGTAACACTTCAATTTTCCATTAACAGTGAGTGAGAACATGATTTCCCTTACATCACAGCAATTAGTAGGTGTTATGAATCTTTTTCAGTTTTGCCAGTTACATTAGTGTAAACTGGTTATCTCACTGTTAAACTTTAATTTGCAGCTCAGTATTAGAAAGATTGAGCAAATTTTCCTATTTTGCTTGGCTCTTTGGTTTGGATTTCTTAAAAGTAAGCACTGTCAGTCTCGTTTACAAGGGTAAAAAATTAGAAATCAATTATCAAACCAGAAGCATTTCTTTCTAACCACGTTTAGGGCTTCCTTCACATCTTGGTTTCTCAGACTGTAGATGAGGGGGTTTAACATGGGGATCATAATGCCATAAAACACAGAAGCCATTTTTTCTTGTTCTTGTGACTTGTTTGTCCCATGGTGCAGATACATGTAAGAGAGTGTCCCATAGAAAATTGTGACGGCTGTCAGGTGAGAGGCACAGGTGGAGAAGGCTTTTTTCCTCCCTGCAGTGGAAGATATCTTCAGGATGGCAGCCAGGATATACATGTAGGACAAGATGACCACCAGCACAGTGAACGTTAAGTTGAACCCCACAAAGACAGTTAGCAGCATGATGTTGAAGTCAATGTTGGAACAAGAGAGAGCTAAAATTGGGGGTTCATCACAGAAAAAATGGTTAATTTTATTGGATCTGCAAAAGTTCAGTGAAAAGGTAAAACCTGTGTTTACAGAGGCATTTAGGAAACCTATGAAGTATGAGCCAACCAGGAGCTGAACGCAGACTGTCTGCGACATGACTATCGGATAGCGGAGTGGATTGCAGATGGCGACATACCGGTCCACTGCCATTGCAGCCAGGATGTAACAGTCAATCGTTGCAAAAGCACCATAGACTAGTAATTGTACCATACACCCTATGAATGAGATGGATTTCTCTGTTTCTACAAAGTTTTGCAGCATTTTGGGAGTGATAGCGGAGGTGTAGCAGAGATCATCTAATGCCAAGTGTTGGAGGAAAAAGTACATCGGGGTGTGAAGGCAAGTATCAGTCTTGATGAGTAGGATCATGCCAATATTACCCACTAGGGTGGCCACATAGATCACTAGAAATACTATGAAGAGGATATGCCAAGACTTGCGTTGACCAGCAAATCCCAGGAGAATGAACTCACTTACTTCAGTGCCATTGTTTTGTTCCATGGCTAGCCAAGATTAAGTATGAGCTGGAAAGATGCTAAGAAAGAAGAACAGAGAAAGCTAAGTCCATGTGGTCCTTTAACTAATTTTGGAATTGGCGATGGTATAATATTTGGTTTCACAGGTGGAGCCAGAGAATAGTTTCTGTTACCTAATTGACTTGGATATGAAAGACTAACATTTAGCCTTTAATAAGACTGAACCTTGCCCCCCAACTTAGAGAACTTCAACTACAGTTTGGGGAAACTCTCATTGGCCAAAAGGATGTTCTCAGGGTGCAAACTGGTTGGCATTTTATAAACCTATTAGTTTATTGTTTAGTTGACATACAGTATATATAGTGTGCTCTTGGTTTGGGGGGTAGATTCCTGTGATTTATCACTTACGTACAATACCCAGTGCTCATCCCAACAAGTGCCCTCCTCAATACGTGTCACCACTTGACAATAAGTTACATTTAAAAAATAAATAAAAAGTAAAATAATAAAATAAAATTTTTAGTAGTCATATAAAAAATGTAAAGAGAAATAAGCAGAATTAGTATTAAACGTAGTATTTAGAAATCAAAAATCACACTGAGATACCACCTCACACCAGTCAGAGTGGATAAAATGAACAACTCAGGAAACTACAGATGCTGGCGAGGATTAGAGAAACAGGAACCCTCTTGCACTGTGGGTGGGAATGCAAGTTGGGGCAGTTGCTCTTGAAAATAGTGTGGAGGTTCCTCAAAAAATTAAAAATAGAACTACCCTATGACTCATCAATAGCACTACTAGGAATTTATCCAAGGGATATAGGAGGGCTAATTCATATGGGCACATGTACCCCAATGTTTATAGTGGTGCTTTCAACAGTAGCCAAATTATGGAAAGAGCCTAAATGTCCATCAACTTATGAATAGATAAAGATTCCATTTACAATAGAATACTACTTGGCAATGAGAAAGAATGAAATCATGCCATTTGCAGCAACGTGGATGGAACTGGAAGGCATTTTACTGAGTGGGTAAATAAGTTAACCAGAGAAAGACAGATATCATATATTTTCACTCATATGTGGATCTTGAGAAACTTGCAGAAAAGCATGGGGGAAGGGAAGGGGAAAAATAGTTATAAACACAGAGGGAGGGAGGCAAAGCCACTAGAGACTATTAAATACAAGGAACAAACTAAGGGTGGATGGAGGGGTGGGGAAGAGGGGGAAATGGGTGATGGGCATTGAAAAGGGCACTTGCTGGGATGAGCACTTGGTGTTGTATGTAAGCGACGGACCTCAGGAATCTACCCCAAAACAAAGAGCACACTCATACACTGTATTAATGTAGTAAAAAAATAAAGCCAAAGTTGAAAGAAAAAATCTATCAATTAAGGAATATATATAATATTTATTTTTGCTTTTTTATGCACCATATATATTTTATAAAACCACAATAAAACTAAATATGAATTATTTTATCTAAAAAGCTTGACTTGCCCATAGAATCCACATGATCTTGTTCCTACATTACTTCCTATACTCATGTCTCTTCTTTCCTTGCTAACTATGCAGCTGCCATCATGGACTCTTCTTGTTCCTTGCTCTCCTCCACTTCTGGCCCTTCCAGCATTTTCCTTCCTTTGCCTTAAGTACCCTCTGGTTGGTCCACTTTTTATTCCCATCGGTAATTCTTACTATTTATTCTGGCCTTGGTTTGAATGCCTCTTCCTCAGGCATTGTTCTGACCACTCAAATGAGCCATGTGTGCCAAGCCATTAGCTTGGTCGTTTTGTCTTCCATCAGTTTAACACTGATAGTTATTTGTAAGATTATTTATGCCTCTTTGCTTAATTTCCATTTTTCTCATTCATTGTAGGTTCCATGAATACAGAAGCTTGGGCAAGTGCCTGCTTCTGTAAATAGTGGTAACTTGAATACCTGAATAAATTAATCAATGAAAGAGTAAATGAAAGACTTATGAAGTGTAGAAAAACAGATAAAGTTATATAAAGATCACAGTTACGTACAGTATTTTTTGTTTTAAGAAGTACATTTATTTTTTTTTAATGTGTGTCTCTGAATCAAGAAGTTATGACAGGTTAACTATAAAAACAGAAAACTAAAACAGAGCAAAGATCAAAAAGAAGTTAAACATTCATGTTTTATTTGGTTTATTTATTTAAAAGTAATGTGTGTGTTTTCTCTGAGTAGGCACAATATAGATGCTGACAGATCATTGCTGGGTGCCTATACGCATTTGGGATTGCTATTTATTCTTCAAAGGTTAAACTTTTTATCATTATGCAGCATCAGTCTCTGGTAATTTTTGTTTGTTTATTTGTTTTTGCTGTGAAATCTACATCTGATATTAATATAGCTACTCTTTCATTCTTTTGATTAGTGTTTGCATGGCATATCTTGGTCCCCTCTTACTTTAAACCTACAAATATCACTAGATTTGAAGTGAGTTTCTTGCACAGCATATTTTTCTATACACTCTGCCAAAGTCTTTCTTTTAGTTGATTTGAAAAGAAGGAGTCTTATAACTTTGGGAAAAGAAGGATAAGATGGTCAGAGCAAACATATAGATAAATACAAGATGCTTCTCTTAAGTTTTCTGAGTTATGTTTGACAGTTGATGCAAACATTTTGACTCTTCTAATGTGGTTCTTAATGAGTGTGGAAGAAATATTTCAGACAAGTATATTCTAAATGGGGAGAATAAAGAAATGCAAAGGGAATTAAGGTTTCCACATTTCACTCAAGTTGATAAAATATATCTGACAAAGGACTAGAGTCCTTCATATACCTAGACTATAGATTCTCAACCTCAATATTAAAGGAAACAATCAAATTAGAAAGCAGGTAAAAGACATGAATGGACAATTCACCAAAGAGGGCTTATATCACAGAGATGGTAAATAACCTTATGATGAGATGCCGTACATTAGGTATTAGTTACATGCAGATAAAGAACACAATGAGACATCACTGCCCACTCATCAAATAGCTAAAATAAAAACCAGTGATAATACTAAATGCTGAGGGGGATGCACTATAGCTGAATCTCTCATACACTCCTGGGAGAAATGTAACATGGTACAATCACTCTGGAAAATAGTTTGGCTGTTTCTTAAAAACTAAACACACACTTAGCATACCACCCAGTACTTATATTCTTGAGAAATTATGTTTGCACAAAATTTATGCCCACATAAAATCCTGTACATAATTTTTGATAGCAACTTCACTTGTAATAGTTGAAAACCACAAACAACCAAAATGTCCTCCAATAGGTGACTGCTTTAAAAAACAATGGTACATTTATACTGTGGAGTATTACCCAGCAACCCAGAGGAACAAACTATTATACTTGTAACACTTTGGTGGATCTCAGTGGTATTATGCTGAGTGAAAAAAGCCAACTGAAAAGGTCACATAGTGTAGGATTTCTTTTATCTAATATTCTCCAAATGACAACATTATAGAGATGGAGAACAGACTAGTGATTACAAGAGGTCAGGTGGAGGAGGAAAGATGTGACCATAAGGGGTAGCATGAGGGAAGTCTGTATGGAATCAGGCATCTGTGGTAGCATCGGTCTCCATCTTGATTGTAGTGATTGTTATACAAATATAAACATGGGGTAAAATGACAAAGAGCTGCATACACACATTGTTACACACACCTGGTCTGATATCATAGTATTGGCACTAGTATATTCCTGGCTTGATATCATAGTATAATTATGTAAGATGTAACCACTGGAGGAGAATGGGTGAAGGATACATGGAACTTCTGTGTACTATCTTGCACGTTTTTGTACAATCTTCCTGTGAATGTTAATTACTTCAAAATAAAAGTTGAAACATTGAGACTCAGAAGAGGAAAAAGTAAAGCCTGTTTTACAGTTATATGAGGATCAAGTGAGCAAATTTATGCAAATTTCCCAGCAAAGGGGCAGGTATTGAATGGGTGCTCATCAAATGGCTGTAACAATGTATGCAAAGAATACTTTAAAGGCATACAATATTGATCATTTGACCTATTGATTGATTTTTACAGTTATTTGTTCATTCATGTCTTTTCTCAGGAAACATTCAGTCCAGCTGAGTTCCTTTTCTCCTTTCCCATTACATTACCAGTGATGAAGTGATTCCTCCTGGTATTGGGGTGAAATGGGGATATTTCGGCTCTGACCCTTTCACTCTGCCACTTTCTGCATACAACGCACTGATAAACAGCTGATGTTGAAAACTGGGAATTATATTGCTTTACTTACACTGGAGTTGTCTCAGTATTCTTTTCTGCCACAGGTGCAAGCTGATTTCCCATTGAGCTTTCTCTGCACTTCCTTCCAGTCCCAGATTTTATAGCTGGGATCTAGGGAATCAACACTGGCTCTCTTGGGACTCTGAGGCTCTGGGACTGAGGTGCAATTGGAAACAACAATCTTGAACAGTTATTTTCTTCTGAAGAAAAGTTTGGATTTCCAGAGAGCACAAATTTATCTTTGCACGACTGCCATTGGAGACTTCTTGCTTTTCTTTTTGGGCGTTGTCCTGCGTCTGACAAATTACTTTTTGTCCTGCTTTTCTCTCCCTCCCTGCTTCCCTGCCTCTTCTTTCTCCCTCCTTCTCTTCCTTCTTTCCTTGCTTTTTCCCTTCTTGCTTCCCATCCTTCCATCCTCTCTACCTTCCATTTTTGGGCGGTTGTATAAGAAAGCATCGCCATGGTAAAAATTTCAGAAGTGTGAAAGCACATAGTGTAAAAACCCAAGACCCCCTTTATCCCTCCATTCTAATCTCCAGTTTTCCTCCCTGGAGGTCACTACTGTTAAAAATCTTCTGTTATTGGGGCGCCTGGGTGGCTCAGTCGGTTGAACATCCGACTTCAGCTCAGGTCATGATCTCACAGTTCATGGGTTCGAGCCCTGCCTTGGGCTCTGTGCTGACAGCTAGCTCAGAGCCTGGAATCTGCTTCATATTCTGTGTCCCCCTCTCTCTGTGACCCTCCCCTGCTCG